AATTGCAAAGGGTTTGGTTGTCTCGCTGGCAAAGCCGAGCCCTCCACCTCCTGCGACAGCATTGCGGCACTTGCCATTGTTCCATACTCGTCGGAATGTCGATACAGCAATCAGCAAGTTGTTCTATGTATGAACATTAGGCATAACTGTTATACTACCAAACTTCACAAATACTGACATGATGTCATATGTCGAAATTATTGCAGCATGATGGGTCACATTTTCACCCCAAACCAGTTGCTGGAACGTGCAAGGGAGCATCAACTCCCCCTTTTTTCCTATTCCTCGATTACAAATAATTGGCCAACGCACGGGTTGCCTGTGCGAAGATGCGTTTTTTGCACAGTTCCCCGCAGTTTTTGTTGCTACCGGCACCGACTTTTTTGACAAATGCTTCTAGCTAAACAAATTAAGACTGGCCGCTAGAACTGTCAGAAAACACCTCCTTAAAATTTCAACATTCTGGCTTCCCTGGTTCCTGAGTTAGCAACTTACCGGAAAAAAATTTTCATGGGCCTGTGCGTGTTTACCACGCATTCCCGAGAGCTGGGTTTCAGCTGAATGAAACTTAGGTGGGCGGGGCATATTCTCTTAAAATAACAGTCATTTAGCTTCTCAGGTACTCGAGTTATCAAATTACCCGAAAAAAAATTTGGCGGGCCCGTATGTGGGTACCATGCTCACTCGGGGGCTGGATTTGAGCTACCTAATACTCACCTTGGCGAGGAACATCACTCTAAGATTTCAGCTTTCTAGCTTCTCAGATCCCCGAGTTATGAACTTACCCGAAAAAAACTTTGGCGGACATGTACACAGGTACCACGCCGGCATTGGCGCCCATTTTGGGGAATGGGGCCCGTACGTGCATGTGAGACAAGATGATCCTGTAACGTACGGGCGTTTCACGGCTTGCGTCAAAATGGTGTCTCGGAAACGGGGTTGGAAAGGCGGCTTGAAAACCAGTAACGAATAACTAAATTACCTACACCTCAAAAATAATATAGTTCTTACTACCAACAATCCTCACGAAATAAACTGGATGTTACAGAAGTCCAAGCACAAATTAACCATGTGGGCCTTAAAAATCAACCTATCGAAAATGAAGGTGATGTAAACCCTGGTACGTCCGCAACAAGATACCTGGTAGTGCGTCTGCAAAAAACTGACAGTTACGACTAACTCAGACAAGTAAATATGAGTCACAATCTCCAGCTGGCGAATATATGACGAAAGGCTGCCGATTCGATCAAATTCTAAAGTACCACTGATCTCCTCAAATTGTCGGGTCGGATGGACTGTGCCCGCTTCAGCAGCGCTCTATTTAACATATGTTGTATGGATGCGAAACGTGGTCATTCAAGAAATGTGAAAAGCGAGCGCTGGCCTTGATGGAAAGGGCGATGGACGCTTGACGTATCTCTGCGCAACAATATAAATAACCAGACTCTGGACCAGATGCGCGACTTGGAAAGTCATCATCGCGACCCAGCGGGAAAGTAAAATCCGATGGACAGGACATGTTACTCGCCTCGCCGATAACCGGTGAACGACACGCATTAATGAATGTGCGTACACACATCGAACATTGGCTACAACGCACCAGGATTGCCAGTGCGATTACGCGTTTTTGCATTAAAGTTAAAGCAATCAGGCTGTTAAGTGTAAGAAAGGTTGTTGCTTTGCATTTAGCTTGTGTACTCGGTTAGTGTATCATTATAAATTTTGCGCGATCGAAGATGAACAGTTTTCGCTGAGCGACCATTCACTATTTTCTCGCCAAAACTTTTACAAGCCCACACGTGAGAACCAAGCACACCAAGTTGCATATAGACGGAGAACATTCCTTCAAAATTTCAGCCCTCCAACTTTTTCGATTTCGAGTTAAAAATTTTTCCGCCAAAGTTTTCACGTGCGCGTACGTAGGAACCACGCAAACATGAGGGCTACATTTGAAATTCTTAAGCTGTAGGCAGACGGAGAATATCCGCTTAAAACTCCAGCTTTTCAGCTTATCTGGTCCCCGAGCTAACAATTCTCCCTCCAAAACTTTCACTTAATCGTACGCGCGCCCAGGCGCTCGTGACGGATGGTGTCGCGTTCCTCGGGTACCACTTGGCCAGGGAATCCACTAGCAAAATTTCAGTGTTGAAGTTCTGTTGGTTGCTGAAATATCTGACAAACATTTATATATATATGTATATATATATATATATGTATATGTACATATATATATATCTGTGTGCGCGTTACAATATGTGTTTCTGCATTTGCATACATGCAAAAATGCATAAAAACGGCAAGCGTTAACCGAAGGTATCGAGAGCCTGGCATAGCTGAGCTT